TGTCAGGGATTACCAGCGGTGAGCACGACCAAGGAGGCCCAGACCCTCCCCTGTTTTTCCTGTTCCTGGCTCTCCTCCCTCCGGTGGCAGTCGCGTTGAGCCGCCTCTGTCTAGATTGTCGTTGACGTTCGAGCCGCCCCCATTGAAGAGGAAGTCGGCCTCATCCACATCATCGAGGCAACCGAGCTTTTGGACAATGAACAAAGCGGAGAAAGAAGAAACTAACGGGTGGGCCCTCATTCAATCTAACAATATTAATATTTGCTGCCTTGTCACCCTGGCAAGTGGACATGACCTATCATAATAAGGGTAAAACTTAACGAAACCGACCATCAGGAGCTCTTTGCAATAAAATTACAAAATAGTGGTAGGTATCATTCAAGATTTTGGAAGTGTGGTATTTCGTGTGTGCCGTAACCCCAATTTCAGTAGTTTTATGCTATTTACTCAATGATCTCATGTATATTTTGAGATAAATTCATCTGGGAGAAAGATACTTTCCCCTCCCTGCTAGTGACAGGAGAATGATCAGGCAACTACCTCTTCCAGCCACCAGCGAAGCCGGGGTTTCCCTTTCCTCCCTTGGCCACTCCGGTGGCGACGAGAGGGAGGGGGGACCGAGAGACTAGAGTGTTCTCTTTCCTTCAGGGGGCATCGTTTTGGTGGAGGTCAGATGCCTGTGTGAATAATGGATCAATCACTCTCTCCCCTCCTTGGCGATGATGTCGGGATGAGCAAGGCGGGTGGCCCGCCTATCTATAGATCCGACAGTTTTCTCGATCACCGTGTCTCCCTAATGGGGACGAAACCTCTTACGGTGTGTTGATCCAACTGGATTGCATAATGTGTCGTGCAAAACATGGTCCGGCCAGCTTCAGATGTAAAGAAGCGGCAGTCGCGTGCCTTCGACTCACTCCAATAGGTTAGATTTATGGTTTCTTTGGATTGTTTTGTACTTCCGTTGGTCCTTGAATACTGATGTGTGTGTGTGTGTGTGTGGTGGTGGGGGGGGGGGGGTTTAAAAAAATCACATGTAGGAAATTCAATAATCAAACATTCGTAATAAATATACTAATTGTAAAAGAAAATTTGGTTTGACTGCACCCTAGTCCAAACACGACAGCTTATACTACGACGCAATATGTGGAAAGGTATGTATTCTGATGAGTATATGTCCCAAAATAGAAAAGGAAAACTTAATAATTCAAAACGGTGGCAAGCCACATCTACACCTGGCAAACAGTAAACTAGACAATTCAAGAAAAATTACTGAATTTTAAGCATTCAAGATGCTCATGTGCGCAAGATGCGTGGAAGTTTTGGTGGTATTTAGACATACGAGGAGCTCGTACAAACAAAACAAAATCGGATCCGAATATGTTCTTTCTCAAATTTTTGCAGACTCCCAAAATTTGTATTTTTAGTAGATGAGCCTGGGTGCAGGGTGCAGAATAGTCGCCCTCAGGAAACCCTGGGCTTCAACTTAGGTGCGTACATGGTCAGAGTAGTCGACGTGCACCGTCGTAGTCAGTGTCTCTTTGCGGGAGAAGCGTACGTTGCTGCACCGCGCGTGCCTTGAATGCTTTTGACCTGAGCCTCCAATAGTCTCCTCCCTTCCGTTCCGTTCCGGGTAGCTAGCTTGCAATCACACACTAGTAGCTAGCTCTATAGCTCTAGCTACATGATGGTCTCTCCCATGTTACGTGTCTGGACCGGCCTCTCTCCTCTGATCCGCACTATCTTTCAACATCATGTATATGTGCCGAATTGCTGACACATACTCCATGCGTGTATGTCTGCAAATTAATCACGTTTTGCAACAGTTAGTAGTGAAGGTAGTCATCAAGTGAACAAAAGGACTAGTAGCTTGATCGAGGTCAGTACTTTGCTGCACTTCTGCATTCGCATAGTTCATGATTATCAAACCGAACGTGAGATGCAAAATTAGGCCAGCCCTCGATCGTTTCATTTCTCCCCCCATCAATCAACTAACTTTCTGTACCGATCATGCATTGCATGGACCAACGCACCGCAAGAGCATCGTCCTGATTTCCCATCATGGCAGAGGTAGCAAATAATGCATGTAGTACATTATCTTGTCATCAAGAAACGATCAATTAATCTTGCATGCATGCATGCAGTCCTTGAAAGCTAGTATAAGCATCACATAATTTTTGTACTTGGTTCAAAGTCAAGGAAACGGAGCAAGATGATCAAGCAAAATCACCACCACACTACCCATCAGTGCAGCAGGTACTACTACTAGATAGATAGACACGGCTCGAAGTGCAAAGATGCACGAGCTCATCAGAATCAATCAGGTACACGCACGCACGCATGCATGCATGCATAATTTACAACGACTCTTAGTACTAACACTACACTAACATGCAACTACTGCTCACGTACGTGCGCAAGCATCCTCTCCGTGCTGCTGCTAAGCTAGATCGTGTCCTCATCGTTCATCAATTATAGATAGATAGATATCAGTACCATGCAAAAAAGTCAATTAACAAGCAAAGGGCGCCGAATCGATCGATGGATCGCTGTCAGGGCTAGCTGGAAGCTCGATCTCTCTCGATCAATGGCGGTTGTGGGCGTTGTTATTGCTGTTGGTGGCGCCGTCGCTGTGGGCGAAGGACGGCGGCATGAGCATGTCCTGCAGCAGGCCGTAGTCCTGCGCCATCAGGTGCTCCATCCGCAGCGGATCAGTACCACTACTGCTGCTGACAGTATGGGTACTGTTCCCCGTCGTACCACCGGCCATGGCGGCGGCCGGGCCACGGTCAGCAGGAGGCGCCTGCTGCATGTGGCTGCTCGCCATGGCGTTCGCCTGCCGCATCGCCATCCCCGCCGCGGCGACTTGCTGCTGGTGCTGCATGGCTGCGTGTTGCTGCTGCAGGAAGCTGCCGAGCGCGTCGCCGGGACGGAAGGCACCGGGCGGCGCCGGCATCCGGAACATGCCTGGGTGGATGAGCCCGTGGCCGCCGTGCGCGTGCGCGTGCGCGGCGAGGAGGTGGTTGGCGCCGCGCAGCGTGGCCGGGATGGGGTGGGTGTGCTTGCCCTCGTAGGTGGTGATCACCACGGCGGCGTCCTGGTACGACCGCTCCACCCGCTTCTTCACCGGGCACTTCTGCGTCGTGCACCGGTAGTAGCTCCTGCATCTTCAGAAATTAGTCGCATGCAAGCATCGCCCCGTGCTTATCGTAACCCTAACCGTTAGGTACCTTGGGAATGGGCTGTTCTTGACGGCCTTCTGGCCGTACTTGCGCCAGCGGTAGCCGTCCTCCAGATGGTCAACCTCGCTCTTGGTCATGAAGGCGAACCGCGCCTGCCGCGGCCGCTTCTCCCCCTTGGCCTTGGCGGCCCCTTTCCCCTTCGCCGCCCTGCAATTAATCAACTCCCGATCGGTCAATCTTATACAACTTGTAACCAAAGATGCTACTACTACCAAGAAATCAAATCAAAGTGCACTAGTGCAAAGCAAATGATCGATCTCGTACTAGAAAATCGGATTGGAGACACCAAATTGACGATCTATAGCCTTTGTGCATCACATGGTACGGGGAAATCATGCGTGCATGCATGTTCATACTATACCAGAGAGATTATATAGTATTAGTTGGTTAGTTGCATGGTCCGTTCAAACATAGTGGCTGTACGTACCGTATACATGTCTAGGTAGGTGCGTGTGTGTACGGCACAGCCGGCGCACGCATACATAGTGCATGCATACACACATGGAGATTTTAGGTTCACACCGTACCAACTAGCCCGTTCTTTCTTTTGTTTGCTACTACAGTAGTAACAGTTCTTATTTGTACTCATGGATATGGATGGATTTGGTTATCGACCCATCATGCTTATATGGTCACTCGCACAAGTACATCGCGATGTGACGATAGAAGCTGTGAAGTAATTTTCCATGAAAATGATCTATCCATCGACGAGTCGTGTTAGCAACTAGATATCTGATAGTTGATGGATCGACCCTAGTATCTCTGCATTAGTACCTAGCTAGTTCCTAGCTAGAGTATCTGAAAGTTGATGGATCATGGGAGTATATATCTCTTAAGTCATTTCCTAATTAACGTGATATTGTTGGTGGATTAATTAACAAGGACGCAGCAGGGTTGGTGCAGTCAAATTCGAAGACTTGAAAGTAGTGGATGTCGATGAACACAAGATATGAAGAAATCATAAAAGGAAGAAAAGCTGAGACTCTAATCAAAAAGCCGTGGGCACCTATATGCAACAACAACCATTCATCAACCTTTTGCAGCTGATCGAACCCTAAAGATGAAGCCCTTTTTGCACCAGTAGTAGTACTACAATTTTGTATTCGATCTAGGACCAACAGGTTAGCTGGTGGGAAACCCTAGAAACAGATCGAGTTCATACGGTGCATTGACCGAATGGAAGACGAGATTATAATGGAATGGAATGGATCGAACACATGCATGCTGCATGGTAGATCTAATTAAATCGGATCGATCAACTGGCTTAACTAATATAAATCCACCCAGCTATATATCTGGTATGAACTGGTTTATGATCCTAGTATTAATCCCGTGGAAAGGGGATTGGCTAGCCCGGCGGGCCGGTTGGAAAATTTTGGATCAGTGAAGAACGAATCAAGCTAGCAACAACAACAATCCAACATGAACGAACAAAATCTAGAACAAAATTAGATGAGAATCATCAGTGAACTGTATGCAAATCAATCAACCTCTTAAGGTACGTATCTGGTCTAGAACTATAACTCGAAGCCAAGATCAGCAAGTAAAGTTTCTCCAAGAAATCAAATCAGATCTTAGTATCTTACCCTTTCTTGGTCTTGTCCGCCTCCCCATCGGCCGCCGCCTCCTTGCTCTCGTCGTCGCCCTCGCCCTCCTCCTTCTTGCACTTCCCGGCCTCGTCCTCCACCGCGCCGCCACCACCGACACCGGCCTCGCTCGACGTGGACGACACCGACACGCTGTGCGCCGTCCCGCCCGGCCCGCCGCCGGGCACAACAACCGCGCCGGCGGCACCGTCGCTCGCCAGCATCTCCCTCTTCACCTCCTCGCCGCCGCCGCCGCCGCTGGCCGGCGAGCCGATGAAGTCCCTGGCGAAGGCGTCGTCGTAGTCCATGCCCGGCGTCTGCAGGTAGTCGGCGAAGAACCAGGGCGTCTGCGGCGGCTGCATCTGCATCATGGGCGACGGCGAGGCGGCGTCGGCCGGCCGCTGCGCGAAGAGCGAGGCCAGCTCGTCGTGGAACTGGAAGTCGCCCGACAGGTGGCGGCGGTGCTGGTCATGGCTCGCGCCCGACATGGATGGATGGATGGATCGGCGAGTTAGCTAGGTGGCTGGATCGATCGGATCGAAGTCCCGGCGGCCTTCTTGGTTCTTGCCGTACTAGCGGATGTGTAGAGGCCGTGGTGCAGTAGGGGGGAAGGCAGAGCCAAGGAGGAGGGGTGTGTGAGGGAGGGAGAGGAGGCTTAGCTAGCACGACGAGTAGAAGGCTGGGCTAGTGTGTGATTGTTTGCGGGGAAAGATGGATGGATGAATAGGTGGTTGGGTAGGGGTGCATGGTCAAGGCCTTCTTCATTTTTATTTCTTTCTTCTTGCGGGGAAAGTGCTGCTCCTTCCGGAATGGTTCTACTTAACTATTCATTTACCACGTCAATTGAGGTAGTATAGCACATGCACACTTGCTCGGATATTTTGGTCTCACATGCAAGCATGGCTATTTTTTTACTACGTACCACTAGAGTAGGTTTTACCAATTCAAAATGTCGCATGTTACTTATTGTCCACCACGGTGCATGAAGGCCGGAGAAATATTGCAATTTCAATCGAATAGAATGAAGAAACAGTTGCTTAAATAGGAGCCAAATTTGCTGGGAGGCGACATGGTGAAGAACGAACGGGTAGCACAGCGCCAGTGCACACTCCAAGTGGTAATAAACACTGGGGCGTTGTACGGACCAGTGCGAGGTCGCACACGGCTCTCCTCTTCCCGACGAGTCAGCCATGGATGACGGCCACGCACCGGCGGGCAGCCGGTCAAACCCGCGCGCCGGGTCAACCCGTTCAGACCAGACACGTGTCCGCCTCCGCTTTGACCCTGGCCCCGCGCCCGTGGCCCGCGACGGGCCACGTCCGGGCTGGCGCGAGCGTGACGCCGCCACCGTGCATGACGGGCGGGATCCTCGGCCGTGCGATGCTGATCCGAGGGCCTCGGGTCTCCGGCGGTGGAACGGAACGGGACAGGACGGGCCAGCCGTCGATCTCGATCACGAGCGAGGCTGGTCGCGGGCGGGCCGACCATGCGACGGCGACTTCCTGCATGGCCCTCTTCTTGCCAGCAAAGAGCTACGCTGGTCTCGGGCGCCGGCGCGCGCGGCCGGGACGGACGGCGACCACGGCGACGGGTGCATGCCCACCGTGTAAATGTCCACGTGCGCCCACCGATTTATCGAGCGTGCCCGCTCCACCGGTGCATATGTTTCCGATCCTTACTTAAGATGCTCACTTTCTCCAAAATTTTTTTTTTAAAAAAATCTTACGATGCTCAAAGAGAAAAAAGTTTGTTTCCTGCAAAAAAAAAAGCATCGAAGGACGTTACGTCAGCCAAAAAAAAGATGTGATGCAGCGGTTCTCGACGCGAACGAACCTTTTTCTTGTTCTTCCGCATCTTATCCTCTTAGCCGGAATAAATCCACTCACTACTGGAATCAACTTCTTTGCCGTCCGCCATGGCAGACGGCAAAGGCATAGATTCCACACGGTAAAATGTCCATCTGAACAGGTGACAACGAAGGCCTTCTTTGTCGTCCGCTTCCTTGAAACGGACGGCAAAGGATTGCGTCGTCCGCCATATGCGGCCAGCAGACGGCAAAGACAACGGACGACAGTGAGGTGGCGTCAGAGCCGTTAGGGTGTTAACGGCGCTCTTTGCTGTCCGCCAGCAGACGGCAAAGATTCAAAGGTCTTTGCCATCCGCTGACGGACGACAAAGAGCTCAGTTAGGCCAGCACCGGGAAGCTGCCACGTGGCCAGCTATGCCGTCTGCTGGCAGACGGCAAAGACTCGAAGGTCTTTGCCGTCCACCAGCGGACGGCAAACTGTCCAAATAGGCCGCCAGTGTTCCCAGTTTCTACAGGTAGCTACCACGTGTCCTTTTTGCCGTCTAGCGGACGACAAAGCTCTTTGCCATCCGCTAGCGATGGCAAGCGGACGACAAAGAGGCTATATATCCCCTGTTTTTATTTATATCCATTTAATTTCATTGGAATTCACACACAGATATACATATTATTATTTTTCACAAGCACTGCAGACATATGATGTATCCAACACATAGCTCCATCCATGACAACATACATACATAAGAAACACAATTTCATTCATACATCTTACACTAATATCACAATGTTCATCCAACACATTGTTCGATGCATCAATATAACAAGTTCCACATTATTCTTCGATACAAACGAAAAGAAGAACAGAGAAACAAGCACTCCATCCATGCAAGCTTCCATATAGTGAATTAAATCTGCAAAATGGGAAACAAGAAAGTTAGAAGAAGAAGAAGAAGAAAACTAGAAGAAGAACAAGAACAAGAACAAGAAGAAGGAGAAGAAGACTAGAAGAAGAAGAAGAAGAAGAAGAAGAAGAAGAAGAAGAAGAAGAAGTTTTCTTCTTCCTCTTCTTCTTCTTTTCTTCCTATTCCTTTTTTTCTTCCTCTTACTTGATTTTTTTCATCTTATTATGTCATTTGTGGACTAAATAGGCTAAATTATGTCATAAATGGACTAAATAGGCTAAATAAGAATAAAAATGCCATTTTTGAGCTAACGTGGCAAATTATGCCAGTTTTGACCTAACTAAGCTTATTGTGTCATCTTAGAGGACAACAAGCTAAGTATATGACATTTTTGAGGTTAGCAAGGTTATGATGCCATTTACGAATAAAACAAGTAAGATGAGGAGGAGAAGAAGAAGAAGAAGAAGAACTTCTTCTACTTCCTTTTCTTTTCTTCCTATTCCTTCTTTCCTTCCTCTTCCTTGATTTTCTTCGTCTTATTATATCATTTGTGGACTAAATAGGCTAAATTATGTGATACATGGACTAAACAAGCTAAATAAGAAGAAAAATACCGTTATCACGGAGGTGTAGGAATGGTCGGGGTTGCGCCAGTGGCAGACAGAGGTGAAGGACCAGTCGGGGTACCGGCATTGGCACACGCGGAAGGATTGGTCGATGCTTGTCGGGAGCCATGCTGAACCAAAGATCATTTCCAATAATGTCTCGTTAGCATGATGCAAACTGAATTGTGAATAGTAGTAACTAAGGACCATTCAAATCAAACTCACCGTGGTGGCCAGAGCAATCTGGGGCATCGGCGGACGGGCCTGACCGTTTTTCTCGCACATGGTCTGCACATTTGGTTCTCACGAGTCAATCATATTAGTTAGTAATGCGAACATAACATGCATGATTGGGCTAATATGCACGAGAAACGTACCACGATGAGCTCATATAGGGCCCGGTGAGACGCCTCGTTCCGGTTCCTCTCCTCCTCCAACAGCTTAGCCCTCCTCTCCTCCTTCTCCCTCTCCTTCTTCGCCGCCTCCCTTTTTGCCTCCTCCAAAAGCGCCTGGGTCTTCAATCTCTCTTTCTCAACCGCTGCCTGCAACACAGCACTCCTCGTTAGCATTGTAATCATCGACGGACGCACACACAATGTAATGGAAGAAAGGTGAGAGAGTCTGTATAACTAACCGCCATGGCGAGCTCGGGCCGTGCACGAGGCGTTATCTTAGGATCAGAGCTACTCAGGTGCTTCTTGATCTGTGGGAGAGTCTTAGAACAACGTATCAGTCCATCACCAATGGCTTGAGAGCCATGGGACCTCCCGCCACCAGATATCATCACCAGCTCTGTATCAAAAGGATCCTGGCTCGGGTTAAAGTCCTCGCCTTCCCCTCGTCTCTGTACTTCACAAGCTTGTGGTGGGAGGAGATGTTGGTGAAGCTCTCTAGATGATCTAGGTCAGACTCCATGAATGGTTTGGCCTTCTTGTACGGGGCCATATGGGCCATACAATAGAGGTCAAACAGACTTGGAACAAAATATTAGTTAAGGGCTCAAGCTAGCATGAAGAATGATATTGCTATGTAAATAGGTCATTTTGGAGCTAAGAAAGGTTATTATGTCATTTTCGAGGAAAATAAGCTAAGTTTAGGTCATTTTCGAGGTAGCCAAGATTATTATGCCATTTTTTTACCAAAGTATGCTAATTATGTCATTATTGAGCTATCCAAGGTAGTTATGCTATTTTTAGCTAACTATAACATATTTAGGCATTCTATAGAGCTATCTAAGGTTATTATGTCATTTTAGAGCTAATTATGTCATGAATGAACTAGCTAAGATTTGTTTAGGTCGTTATTGAGCTATCGAAGATAGTTATGCCATTTTTAACTAACTAAAGCATATTAAGTCATTTTATATAGCTATCTAAAGGTTATTATGTCATTTTAGAGCTAAATATGTCATAAATGAACTATCCAAGGTAGTTATGCCTCTTTTTTAACTAACTAAGCATATTAAGTCATTGTGGAAAGGATAAATGCTACCATGAAGAATGAAATTGCATGAATCATTTAGCAAACCACATACCCAGTTATCCCCATACTCAAACAGGTTGGAGCTCCCTTGATGGTGTGGCACACCTTCCATTTGGTCGCGCTTACCCTTGGCCCTTTGGTGTTCTACTAGCCATTGGGGAGAGCACCACACATCCACCAACGCCTCCCAACAGTCCATCTTATCCACACACCATCTCGGGGGCACCTAAGTGAGTCAAGAGAAATTTCAGCGCTACCAATCAAATCAAGAAAACTAAGTTCAAGGTCTTAAGAATAGGTATATATAATTACCGCCAAGTACTTCTCCCTACTCAGAAACTTGCCGCGACACTTCTTCTTGGCCCTCCTAATACCCTTCGAGGTGTAGTAGTCTCGAACGTCCTGCACCCGAGCCTTGTGTCGTAAGT